CTACCGAGCACCCCTGTGCGCGTTCTCTGTTTCTGGTTTGGGGAAGGGAAATGGAGAAATGAGAAATGGATGGGGGAATGGTTTTTGTACGTGTATAAATAAAGGATGGTGGGCGGCCTTTATCCCCTGCCGCTTCACCTCTCATTATTTTTATTTGTTCCCCAAGCAATTTCTCTCCCGACGACGTGTGTGAAAATCATAATTAATATATATATATATATATATATATATATAAAATTATACTTATCCGATCGATCGATAATCCGATTTTCGCCGAAATACTATCAAAACACTCTATTTTAAATCGTGTAATTTTTCTAGTGATAGTAATACGATTTTAGCCAAAATGGGATGTTACATCACAGCTTCCCAGTGTTCCTTCCCCAGCTTGGAAAGAAACACACTAAAGACTCCAACTGTCTGAGCAATATCTGATTTTGTACACACCATGGCATACATCATACTTCCCAATGCTGAAGTACATAAACATGTTCCCATCTCCGCCTTCTCCCCGTCAGTAGGCGGGCACAACTTGGATGCCCACAGAAAGTTGTTAGCATGATGACAGCTAACCAACTTAACATCATCCAGGCATGTCTCTTCCTCCAAATCGCCATGAAGGAAGGTGAACACATCCAATTTCTCAACCTCCAGGTTAAGACTTGCTGCTAGTCCCAGCACAATAACAATGGATGTCATTTTCACAACCAGTGAAAAAATCTTGTCAAAGTCAATGCTCATTCTTTGACCAAAGCCTTTCGTGACTAGTCTCGCTTTGAGATGTGGCTGACGGTTGTGTTCAACTTGAACACCCACTTCTCCAAATCTCTGCAGCCTTTCGGCAACTCCACCGGCTCAAATCTCTTCTTCTCATACAAGGACTTCATCCCACCTTGCATGGCTCTTATCAGCTTCTGCTTGTGTTCTCCCCCGTCAGTGATTATTACAACACTATTCAAATGATATCTAGTAGAGTAACGCACAACTCTACCAGATCCCATCATTTGAATCGGAGAACTGTTCGTGGCTGGTGGTCAACCATCCTCATCAGCAACTTTCAGTTGAACCTCCACGAGAGCATCTGGTTCAACAATCTCCAGCTGATCATGTTGTACTTCCTCTCCAACTTCTCTAGGTACCGGTGTTGGAGTCACTAGCCCAAGGCTTGATAGGCTAGTATCACTACAAGGAATTTCAACAACATTCTTGATGGTCTCATCCTCAATGAACAAAGCATCTCTGCTACTGATAAGCTTTGTCTGGGCCAACTTCACCATGGACTTCTCACTCCAGTGACCGAGTTGCTTGTGCCACAATTCGATTGTATCACCTTTCTCCGCCAAGTAAACAACCTCCGGGGAGATCTTGGCCTCTGTCACATTCAACTTCGACAGCTTCTTGCCCGTAGCTAACACCAACGAGCCTCTTGTGAGTTTCCATCGCCCATTCTGGAAGGTGTTGCAGTAACCTTCCCTATCCAACTTGTCTACAGAGATAAGATTCAGGCACAGTTCTTGAACATGCCTGACATCCTGCAGCAGCAACTTCACACCATGCATCAACTCCAGGCACACATCTCCTTTTCCAACAACTTTGGAAAGGTCACCATTTCCCATTCTTACCACACCATAGTCACCCGGTGTGTAAGATGAGAAAAATTCTCGCATGGACATCGCATGAACAATGGCTGCACTATCAACCACCCAGCTTGTCTCCTGGGCTCTCAGGTTGACCATCTCTTCCTCACAGACAACATTGAACTCCTCAACAGAGTTTGCACAATCATCATCACTGCTATCATCTATTTTGTCCTTCCTTCTCTCTTTTCTGAGTTTTGGACAAAATTTTCTGATGTGACCCTTCTCCCTGCAGTGATGGCAATAAACATTTGCAAACTTTTTGGCCTTCCCTCGACTTGACTCACTTCTTCCTCTGCTCCAGGAAGCCACTGCCAGAACGCCTGGTTGTGAAGATGATGCACCTTGTGATCTTCTCCGCATCTCTTCATTCAGGACTCCACTTTTGACAGCCTCCATCCTGACAATTCCGTCTTTAGCAGAGTTGGTGAGCGATATCTTCAACGTCTCCCACGATTCTAGAAGGGAAGCAAGAACCAGGAGAGCGATCACCTCATCTTCCATCTTTATGCCCATGCCGGACAATTGATCAACAATCCCTTGAATCTCATTCAAGTGATCCGCCAAGGACGTCTCTTCCTTGTATTTCATCTGCATCAACTTGGTCAGATAAAATAATTTGTTGTTGCCGGTCTTTGATGCATAAAGTCCCTCCAGCTTGCTCCACAGAGTTTTTGCATCATTCTCACCGCAAATGTGGTTGTACACGTTATCATCGACAAACTGTCGAATGAAACTGCACACTTGCTGATGCTCGAACTCCCAATCCTCGTCAGATTTGCCCACAGGTTTAGCCGAGCTAAATACCGGCAAATGCAACTTCGTCACGAACAGGAGATCCTTCATCTTGTTTCTCCAGATGTGATAGTTTGAGCCATTCAAACTGACCATCTTGCTTGTTCTCGCCTCCATCGAACGTGGCTCTGATACCACTTGTTGGGCGCAGCGGGTGAGAATAGCGGGTAAATATATTGGATTAAAAATCACACACTTGTAAAAAGTTCCCAGATTAGTTGGACCTGGCGGCAAGCCTCCAGAGTTATGGTAACCAACTTCCTTAGACCAATTTACTTCGATAATTTAATAACACAATATACTACGACTATTCTCAAAATGACAACAACATAGCAATAATAAATGGCACCGAGGATTTACGTGGTATCCCCTTCACTTAAGGGGCAGTCCACGGGAACAGCAGCTCTGGATATTTCTTCACTATATCAATGGTAGGTGACAGAGATTTTCTACACCAGAAAATAGAACTCACGGTGTTTCCCAAACAACCTCACTATTTTCACTCACAAGAAAATCTCCTATCTACCCAGGTTATGAAAACGTTTCATAACCAAAACCCGCAGAAGAAATATTTACAGGAGCAGAGCAAGCAACGGGAAAAAGAGGAATTGAAAATGGAGAGGGGATGCCTAAAATGAGACTACTGCCTCTGCCTTTTATAGGCAAATGGGAGGCAAAGGGAGTTGAATTCCCATCTGCAAACTCACCTACCCAAATGCAACTTTCGGTGCTTTAATTAATTTTTTTTTTTAACTTTCCACCGCCAACTTTTGACTTCTGCACCTTCTTTTTTTCTTTTTACCATTTGGCGGGCCCAACAATTATGTAATAATTAATCCATCGTCATCATTTGTTCGTTTACCATCCTGGGTTGTAGCTATGTGGTGTTATATACGTGAATAGTTTAGGATTGGAGTTTATGCTTATGAGACTCGTTCAAGGGTTATTGAGATTCAATTCCAAATTGGAATGTTTTCATGGAAAATCGAACAAATTGTTAGATTTTGATAACACTATGGACATGGAAGTTGAGAAGTGTCAAACTTTCTTCTGCAAGCCTTAGATGGTTTGTGGATTTAGAGCATAGAAATGGGTTCGTAGGAAAACCTAAAATGCTCATGCACGGTTCAACAAATGATTTGAACTTTATAACACGATGAACATATAAGTTGAAAAGTTCAAGCTTTCTTCTAAAGGCTTTGATGGTCCATTGATTGTGTTGCTATTACTTGTTTAGCAAATGATTACTACTTCATAAGAAGATGAGGATAGAAGTGAAAATTTCAAGCTTTCTTCTACAAGCTTAGGTGGTTTGTGGATTTAGACTGTAGAAAGGGGGTCGTGGGAAAAGTTGAATGCTTATGTAGGGGAATGTTGTGTTATTATTGCTTGTTGAGCAATCTCGCAATTAGATATTATGATATATAAAGTTGAAGCATAATTACTGTTGCCTAAAAATATACTATTTTGATATCTCAAATTTTATTAAATTACAACTTAGTCATTATAATGTATGTCACAACCGTCCCTCCGGGGGGTCCGATGTCGTCGCGTCGGCATATTTGGGAGTCGCCATCGATCTTACTTGGAGTGGATCGAACACTCTTCTGTTGGTTCTAACCTTAGGGTCAGAACCGAGATATGGTCTGCGATTAAGAGATTTAGGTTCGGGAGTACGGTTACGTGTGGGGAAGTGAAATCACACCCCACAACGCCCTAAATCGGTACTACTTAAGTCGATAAGTTTTATATGTGTTGGGTGTATTTTTAGTAATTATTTTATATTTTTGGGGTCCCACTGGACCATTTAATAATTTTATCGTATTAGTTGTAATTTAATTATACGCCCACTGACGTAAAAAAATTTAAAGATAAAGTTAGTTGATTAGTTGGACTCGAACCTTTCGGTTGCCTACGTACCCGTTAGACGGGATCAAAGTCCACGTAGTTCGTTAGTGACTTTGATGATTTAAAATGTTATTATTACCACGTTCCGCTGATCGTGGTTTTCGTATCCAAATTTATTGTTAATAAAATTTAAGTTGATATTATGAAATTATGAAAATATAATATAAGTATTTTAGTTATTAAAAGGAGATTTGATTTGATGTATTAGAAAATAAACGAGATAAACTTAATCCGCAATTCTACATTTCGTATTTGGATTTTTAAAAAAATAAAATTAAACAAGATGATTATGTTTACACATGATGGGCCAGCAGCCCAAATGGTTGAGGCGCAAGTTGTACAACACCCCCGATCGCTAGGACACGGGTTCGAAATCCTGCTGCCACCAGTTTTTTGTTTCTCGTTTTATTTTAGAGAAAAGGGGAAGGGTAGTTTCGAACTTTCACCAAAACACGGTGGCAGGGAGAGTAATATTGAGGAAACCCTAAGGGTAATTTGGTCGTTTCAAATGGCATGGTATATAAACTCTAAACGAAACCCTTATCGGCTCCTAGACTGAGCGGCCGCCTTCTCTCTCTCGATTCCACTCTACCCCTCTCTCTCTCTCTCTTCTTCTCCTCCAGAGAAGAGAAAATCAAAACCCTAGCCACCAAAGCGCCGCCCTCTCCTTCTTCCTCCTCTTCTCGTCCTCTTTTCCAGACCAACGCCGCCCTCACACTCTCTCGGCCCTTCTCCTCCCTTCTCACCTGTAAACTCGACGAAAACGAAAGAAAAGAAGAAAAAGATCGCCTTCTTTCTCTTCTCGTCTCGCTGGCCATAACCGACCCAGAAGCTTAAAGAAAGGAAAGAACCTTTTGGTTCTTCCATCTCCAAACCTCGAGCAGACAGACCCCACAAAACCTATCCCATTCCGATGTGCTTCTCCTCTCTCGGCGTGGGACAGAGAACCAAACCACGACGACCCTAAATCAATGGGTTCGCTCAGGATAAAGGTAAAGACGGCATGCATGCCTCCTTTTATATTTGTTTTTTTTTAATGTTTTACGATTCTGATAATTTCATGTTTTCTGGGTTTTCGGCTTAGAGGGAGAGGAAGGAGGAGAGTGGGCTTCGCCACCGAGGCAACCGTTGCCGTCGGCGATAGACTCCGCCGGACTCCCGCAGTTCCTTTTCTCGGTGAGTTTGACAATGGGTTTTGATTAGATTTTCTTTGGTTAGTTTCTTCGGGATTGAAATCTAACACTGCTGATTGGGTTGGAATGCAGATTAGAGGAGACCGAGATCTGGGTGATGTTCTCCCATCTCACGACCTTGTACGATTTAAAGGTAAAATTGAAGATGAGATTTGGTTTTTAACGGCTTTAGGTTCTGGGTTTTAATTAGCTAGGAATTAGTTTCTTAATCTGCTAGCTGAATTGGTGTTTTATGGTCAAATTTAGTAAATCGTTTGTTTTGCTGGGTTTATTAACTATGAAATGATTTTAAGATAGATAGAAACCACAGCCTCTGCTTATGATTTCTGAATAATTTTAGATAACCGAAAATCACAGCCTCTGCTTGTGATTCTAGAATGGAAGAAAAAAGTTGTTCTTGATGGGGTTTATCTAGCAAAAGTTTTATCGGGATTACCAATGAAAAACCAATGTTTGATAAACTTGAAAACTATTCAGAGCTAACTGAAAGTCTTAACCATTGCTAATGATTTCATATTTGAAGAAACTATTGTAGTATGCGTTGGTTTAATATGTTTTGTATTGTAGAAAGTTTGTGTTCCTGATTATTATACTGTACTTTAAGGATGATAGAAAAAGACATAGCCTCTACTTAGGACCTTGTCTTTAAAACGAAAAGTTCTATTATAAGATATGATCGGATTTGAAGGTGTTCCCTAGAAAACGAAAGAAAATGTCTTTCTATGATAGCCTCCTAAAACTGAGTTTGTAATGAATCTGAGTCTGTTATTTTTTGCTATTATCATGAGGATTGGAAATGGATTCTCTTGTTGGGTATTCAACTATGCTTGAACTAGAGGGACGTACTCACCTTTAGGACTAACTTATTACAGATTATAATAGGGAATACAGCTCATATATATATATATATAATGAGTGCAAAATACAAAGGTGATTCACATCTAAATTATTACTAAGATATGTTAGCAAAGCATATGTAGATCAGGTTAGTAAAGGTATGTTTACATGAGTTTGTTTAAAACGAGAAAATGTTGATGGAAGCTAGATTTGTGCCTTGATTTGTGCAGCCAAAATACAAAGGTGGCCGTCCTACTCTTCTCAGGAGGTAGCAGCCATGATTTGTGCCTGAATTTGGTTTTACTTCTTTTTGTTGCAGCTTGGTGTGTGGTGAGCCTTGAGTGGCCCTTTGAAGAGGTGGCTGATACCGACTTGCAGGAGGAAGCAGGCTTTTTTCTTGACCTTTGGGATAGGATATGGATTAGGAAAATGGTTGACCTTCGTTGAGGTTCCTCTTAACCTTGATTGGTTTAATTAACTAAGAAGGTTAACTATAAAAAAAATTAATTTGTACATCCGAATTTATGGAAAATGGTCTTGGTGTTTTAGGCTTTAATCGGTGATCTTTCGTTGCTTGCTAATCAAGTTTTGGTTTCGGCAGATTCTGGGTTTTGGATTTGATAGGCCAAAGTTTAAAAAACAGACTAGGTTTTAACCAAAACAAAAACCATGCACCTATGTGCTTTGATGATATATGCAGTTTTGATTGTATTTAGTTTAAATCTATGAAAATTAAGTATATTTCTCTTGCATGATCTAAGTAGTAAATGGAATTAATTTGGTGTAATGAAGATGGTAACTGCAACTGTTGACATCTATAAACCGCAGTAACTGCTTGCGATTTTTATTAGACTCATGGTTGATTTGTGGGTTTTGAAATATGAAATTTATTGCGTTTATAGTATTGGAGTGTTAACTTTGTTCCCTAGTCAAAATGGAAAATATATGGCACAAATAGTACTGTGTAGTGTGTATAATCAATATGAGTAGTTGATATATTTTCCCATCTTTCCCAACGTTCATTAGAGCCATTGATCTTCCCTGTTGCCGTAGTGTAACTAATTTCATTCTCACTAATGATTGTCGTGAATGAACCCTGAAGGTACTATTTAGAGTGAAGCCATGTCATAATTGTTGAATCAATTCAAATACATTCTCGATTCTGATCCCCTCATGTAAGCATTGTCATCAAATTCGATTCAGGAAGTTTTCCCTTTGTTCAATATATTCGCTCAACCTTATGTTCAATTTTGTTTTTTGGCTGCTTTGGTGCTCCTTCGTGCTCAGCAACGAAGTAGGGTTCATTCACCCTTCGCAATTTGCGACATTGGAGAAAGATTCTGAATCTGGTAGCTCACGATTGAAAGCCTCGGATGCGCTGGATGGTGGAGATGGGAGCTTCTGGATTCGAGATCACAAACTGGGCATTTCTTCGGAGGTTGTTCTCCGATTGTACAAGGCTGCCAGAGAACAATTCATGAATGCAATTGCAGAATACAAGAAACTCGGCGACCTATCTCTTCCTTCTGCTGAAGCTCTAGGAATTGTTGTTATGAAATGCAGCAAAACACTTTTGTTGTTAAACTCTGATTTCGGGACTGCTTGGAATTCCAGGTAACCAATTTGAAAATTTCTATATTTATACGAGTCTGGTTGATTTGAATCATTATGATCCGGAAATGATAGATTCGCACCTGTTTTATAAACCCTATAGTTGCAGCTTGTTTATGCCCAATGTGCCTCTCTGTTCTTGTTTTTATTTTATTTTTATGAATCACTATTCTTGATGCAAATACCAGAAAGTTAATCTTATCAAATAAGAAACAAGCGTCGATGTTCACAGAAGAGCACCGCTTATCTGCCCTTGTCCTTTCGTATTCAACCAAGAGCGAGCAAGCATGGAGCCATAGGTAATATTCTTGAAGTACTAGTTGATTCTCTTCCAGTGTTGTTTATCTGCTGAACTGCATGAGTTAACTTGTTCTATGCATTTTTCCTTCGTTTTTTGGCAGGAGGTGGGTGATCAAGAATATGGCCAGAAATCTTACAACTTTGCAAGAGATTTTGAGGGAAGAATCTGACCTGGTGGAGAAGATAGCAGAGGTTTATATTAATTTCAAGAACTGCATAGTAGTGATTCATGAAGGTTTACAACTTCTAATACTAAAGAAGCATACTTTTCCGTGACAATTGCATTACGAAATTTTAAAAATTGGAAAAGAAAAGGGGAAAAAGAAAGCATCATCTTTGAAGTTTATTAATTTCATATTTGATTGTGGGATTTTTCCAGACATGACTAGGTGTATGCATGTATTGTTAGACTTTCATTTTTCACTCCATACAAGTGGTTTTGAACACAGCTCTGGTTTACTAATTCTTGGGCGTGTGTGCTATTGATTGCTACTCTAAACTTTTTCTGCCTTGCTATCTATGCAGAGATCAAAGATGAACTATCGTGCATGAAATTATCGTTGCTGGTTGGTTTCTTACATGGATAGAGAACAGGTTTGTTTCTTAGATTAGGCAAGTTTTGTTATTTATAACGTCATGACAAATTGGCCCTCATGTATGATTAGTATGTAAGAATTTCAGTCCACTGTCTTAAATTGGGCAACTTTTTCTTTTAACTTTCTCCTGGTGTTTATACATTCTCGTTCTAAAACTTTTTTGGGTATTTTGGTTCATACTTGATGATGCATTGAACAGGCATCTATGAGCTGCTTTATCTAGGTGTCCTGTCTGTCAGCTTAAGCAAAAATTGCTTTTCCAGGTGATACAGGAACTGAAGCAATCCAAAACGTGGGCTGGGTTACATGTCGCTGATCATTCTTGCTTTCATTATCGCATGGTGAGTACAATCCTTGAACATTTAAAAGAGAGTTCATGAGAGAAACCTATGTATAATTTTACGAGTATTCATTCCATGACATTTCTAGCATCTTGTCACAGTTTGAGTTATCACCTAATTGCAGCGACTAATCATTAGAATTTTAGAGGATTGCTGCCGTAAGCAAGAAGAGGGGTCTTGTGATTCTTGTGTTGAAGTTTATCTGATCTGGCAGGTATAATGTCTGAACTTTCATATTCACTGCCATAATTTATTAACTCTTTTTTAATTATTAATCGAGATTGCACAATTTGTGAGTTAATAACTCTGATGCTGCTGTTTCTATCAGGAGGAGCTTGACTGGAATGAAGAATTAATAAAGCGTTATTTAGGAAGGGAGGTATTTTTCTCAAGCCCATTTAAAATATGTGAATATAGGGGATCTTGACAAACATGAAAATCGATTACTGCGTTCTGCAAATTAAAGTAGTTGTGGAATTGTTTCTAATCACTTTGTTTCCATTGTAACCTGAGTTTCCTCCAAAGCTAACTCCCACCCCAAATCCCTTATTGTTCACAGGCTCTATGGCTCTACCGTCGCTTTCTCTCCTTATTATGGATAAGGCATTTCACAAGCGATGTCAACGACGTGTTTTCCCCACAAAAAAGCCAATCTAGCATCCAAGTGAACGTCAGTGCGTTTTTAGATAAGGAGTTGCTCCTCGTCAATTCATGCTCGGAAGGAAGTGATGATGAGTTTGAAGATTTTGAAGAACAAGCAATTTGTTCAGCATCTTACATGT